ATTTGGGCTCGGATCTTACTCAACAGAAATTACCTTTGTTGAGCATTTTGGGGAGACTTCTTCCATATCACTGTAAATACCCTTTTCTTAGCAATTTGGTTAAAAGGCCTTAGGCTTTGATGTCTCGGAATTCAGGATATTTGCTTTCTTTGTAAAAAACTTCTAAAGATACAATTTAAATTAAGGCTTTAAGTGAAGTCAAGACATTTCGCACGTAGCTCCGAAACAATGAGCTAGATAAGGAGATAAATCCTATCTTCTTCCTGAAACTGGCTAATGGGCTACCTTTACAAACATTCAAACTATTTCATTCAATATGACAGCATCCTTCTCTCTCTCTCCTTTTTGTCTCCTGTGGTCCTTCCTTCTCCCTCCAGTGCCCAAAGGTGAAATGTGCTCACCTGCCGCCTGGCTTATACCAGCCATTAATTACCCTAACCTTCCCCCGGTGCGTGATTCCCCTCACCTGAGTAAGGTGCTCTCTACAGCCACCTGCTCCCGTGACTACCCTAGTAATGGGGCTTTTCTGCCTGAGCCCCTGTTATATTGTGTGATAGCTGTTTTGTCTGGGTGAAATGGACGGGTAATCTCAGTTTAGTCTGTTTCCTAATAGCTAGGTGTTTTCACATAAGTTGCTACAGTATATGGAGGTCTTAGAAGAAAAGCCAAAGTTTGAATGGATTGTAAAAATCATCAACCTTTTTATTGCTACAGTTGGTCTGTCCATTTCAAGATAAATGTGTGCTGACAGGTTAGCATATGGAAATTCACCATTATCCTTTATTCAGCTGTAGATAAATAAAGCAACTTTAGTGCAGGTGTGGCAAAATGGCAGATCTGGCCCATAGCTGGGTTCCGTTTCCTGGCAGCCCTGGTGGTAGCTCCTCCTTCTGGATGGCACGGCTGGACCCAGCCCCGCTGCCTGGGCACCCCAGCCCATGCACCCCACACCCACCACTGGGAGCAGCACCCATATGCTCAGGGTGCACAGCCAGGTAACTAGGATGAGGCCATGGCCAGGAGTGAGACAGGCAGGGATCTCGGGGTGGTGACAGTGTGGGGCTGGGACTGGAGCTAAGTCATGGTCTGCTGTCCACACACCCCTGCGATGAGCATGAGCTCTGTGGGCAGGGGTGTGCAGGGAGCAGATCACAGCTGTGCTCCAGCCCTGGCCCCAAGCTGTCATTGCCTCAAGATCCCAGCCCCAGACGCAGCTCCTGGCATGGCCGGCCACGTGCCCTGCCGGCTGGCTCCTGGCCGGTCTCCGTGGAGACCCCAGGTTCTTCAGGCAGTGACAGCGCAGGGGTGGGGCAGAGCTGCTATGCACTCCCCACGTGCCCCTCCCTGCAGAACTGGGACTGTACCCTGGTCCCACCGTGTCACAGCCCTGTGATCCCCATGATCTCCATGGAGACTGGCTGGGAGCTGCACAGGCAGGGTGTGCGGCTGGGTGGAGAGCTGTGTCTGGGGCCAGGGCTGAGATCTTGGGCTGGTGACAGCATAGGGCTAGGGCTGGGGCAGAACCTGCGTCTGTCTCAGGGCTGTGCGGGTAGAGCAGGGGTGGGCAATTATTTTGGGCAGAGGGCTTCTTACTGAGTTTTGGCAAGCCATCGAGGGCCTCATGACAGGCAGCCCAGGACAGATAAATATTAATTTCCTAAATTAAAACTACAAACCTAAGTGTTTTAGAAATACAGTATATAGGTAGGTAAACTGATGTCTAACCATCTTTAACACTGAAGTTTTTCCCTAACATATTGGTATCTGTACTTTGCTCTTTCTACTTTTCTGCCTCTTCAGTTGCTGTATTCATTCATGGATATAAATGTCTTAATATTGGAGGATGGTGGCATGGTGTCACACACACAGATTATATCTGTTTTTGGTTGCCTTTTGTGTAGTAGTTATCTTAAGTTGAAGAAATATTAATTGTTGAAGTTCTGATGCTTACGTGTTGGTATCTTTTCCTTTTTTGATTTTTAGGGTCACAACTTTGTCATTCTTCCAATAGTAAGCATTTGTTTTTGTCTTAATACTTCTTTGTTTAGTATTGGTATTAGCATTTTTGGAACAATTTACTGTAAATGTTAAAATAAAACCATTTTACTACTGGAGTACGCTTTCTTGAAGAACAATGTCCCTCAGATCTGTATTTGAAACTCATGCTACTTGCAATGATTTCAAAACTAATGATATATCTCTTTAAAAGATAGCTTTGCCTCCCAGGTAAATGCATTTCAAGTTTCTGTTATTTAAATTACTTGTATTATTTTATTAACTAAATGTGTCGCATGGTATTTGGCCTTCATCTTTTGGGATTAAGATCTCATGTAGCTTGCTTTCTCCTGTGTTGGATGCAACATTGCTTGAGTTAAGATTTTTTTCTCTAATATTTAGAAATTCTGAGGCTATCTTGGTATTGTCAGCTTGGCACTTCCAGTATATGTCATTTGAATTGAAGTTCCCTGTGTTTAATGTAGCTTTTTTCCAAATACTTATTATAGACAGGAGCTGGTCATCTTATTCTCTGGCATGACTTTGAATAGCAGTCAGCACTAGTGCTCCAACTTTTGTTTAAAGAAGTCAAGATCACTTTCTTCTGAGTTGTCAGTGCCTCAGAAACATATAATGCCATTTTTGCAATAGATTGCACCTCCCTCTCATTGTTGCCTTTCCTTAAGTAGGTTATATCCATTGATTTTTTAACATGAAAATTCTGCTCTCATCCTTCCCCACCTGGTTTTATTATGTTGACTTCATATTTCTAAATGAATACTTCCAATTCATCTTGTTTATTACCCAGGCTTCTTGCATTGGTATACAGATAAGTAAAGATTTTTCCACTTCATGCTCTTTGAGGTTAATTTTATTTTCAATGTTTGATTTTTCACTAAATGAGTGATCATTTGTTTTTCCTTTTCATTCTCCCTTTGTTTTATTAGTGTAATACCCTTTTGACTGTTCTAGCCAATCTGTCCTCTAGAACAGACGTGGTTAACCTGGGTCCCACGTGCCACAAATGGCGTGGGCAGCCTCTGTGTGTGGCACGTGGCAGATTGGGGAGGGGACAGTGGCATATAAACAGTAGGCGTGTGCGAAATGGGCCATATTCAATTTGGATTTGGCCCAAATCAGGGACAGTGATTTGATTCATTGATTTGGATCACTGTCCGCAATTCAGTTCGGCCAAATCTGAATCTGAAGATCAGCAATTTGGCCATAGACACAGCTTTAAATGTTTTTTTTTTCTATGTACCTCTACATACCCACTCCCTCAGGCCACAGTCCCCCAGTGCATGGGGCAGGGGGTGGGTGTGTGTGGGGTAGGGGGGCTCCAAGCAGCCCCTTGCAGGCTGGAACTCTGCCAGCCTGCAAGGGAAAAGCCACGTTTTTCTCCTTTAAAGAAGAATCCATTTTTCAAGTTTGTTTGTGACACTTTCATATATTCTTGTGACCCATGGGGTCACTACCCTAGAACATTGATACTTCTTCAACTAAGATGGATGCCATCTAAACTGTACGTCCACCTGACTTCATCGAGCAATAATAGGTTGATGTTCTACCAAAACCTTCTGCCTTGAAGCACGTACTTAGATAGTGGTTCACTTCCATGATCTCTTCCCTACTAACTTTATTTTCTGGTAAGGGTTTCCAAGAAGATTTCGTAGAAAATATTATGAGATTTCAAAACACGTTATATATGTTAGGATGAAACAAAGATGTAAAATTTTGAGAGAGAGAGCGCGAGCTTCTCACTACAGAGTAGCGAGTAATCTGGTGGTTACTAGTCATTTTGGAGTCAGTGTCTCTTTTCTGAGACTCTTGCTTCAATGTTTGTAAATACATTCTCACCAGATGAATATTTTCCCTCTAACAGCAAATAATCCAGGGGTTCAGCTGCTCGACTAAGATTTGTAAGGCCAGGTTAAAATCCTCCTCTGTGTCATTGAGACCAAGAGTTAGAGCCTTGGTCTCGCATATTCCAGCTGAATCCCACCCTAGCCACTGCACTGTTTGTTGTCTGGGTTTGGAAGGATTTCTCCCCTGTCTGTCTCGTCTTTGAGTATGGCCATTCACCTTGTAACAAAATCCGGGCATTTTGTGTCGTGTTGAACCTTCAAGGTGGAAGACAGGCAGATAGTCCTAAATGTGTAACCCCATGAAATGCATTGAAGGGGTGGAGGTTTCAATCTCTGGTGATAATGGCAGTTATTTATTGACAAGTGTTTCATGCTTGGCCCCTGGTAGGGATGCACACTTTTGCACTTTCACCTTCTGCTTTTTTTAACATCTTTATAATAAAGTTTTTTAAAGTCAGAGGTCTTTCTCTTTTTTTCCTGTGTACTCATTCTCTTGCCTGCACTCTTTTTCTCCAGTAAATATTTAAGTATTTGTAAAAAGTTAGGTACCCTTTCACCTGGAATGTCAGACACCAAGGCTCTGGTACATCATCTAAATCAAGCACAGCAGGGATTAGAAGCTAGGTCTCTAAGAGATGGTATGTTCCTGTGAAAGGTTTGGATTTTGATTAATTGGCATTTTCCGATGAGAACTCTATTTACTGTAAAGTTCGTATGCTGTAGCATTTGATAATTTTTAATGTGTACACTTTGGAAATGTCAGTGCTCTATGTCATGAATTGGTATCTTGCCATGATGGTGACATAATTATCAGGGATCTTGGTTTTCTCTGATTAAAAAAAAATTCCCAATTTTCAGATTTAAAAAAGTACCCTAAACTCCACATTTTTCCATGATTAAAATGAAATACCGCCATAGATATATTTTTTATATTAGTGGCGGAAAAATGTGGATTTTGGCTTATATTTTTTTAATCCAAAAATTGGGGATTTTTTTAATCAGAGAAAGCTAGGATCCCTGAAATTACATACTTTTACATATCTTTTCTTTCCAGAAAAAGGGTGGTAGTGTACGTAAGTCATCAGGTATTTGTTTTAATATCACCCATTCCTGTACTGTCTTCTATCTAATCCAGGTGGAGGCAACCTTTTCTGGCTGTGGGCCGAGTGACCCTGCTGCCACGGCCGCTTCTCTCCATGGTGGCACGGGGAGTGCCTTCTTCTGAAGCCCCACATCTGCAAGCCGGATCCAGTTGTTCTGCGGGCCAGATCTGACCCATAGGTTGCTTGCTGATCTGATCTGTTTTGTAGGGTGGTAGATGAACAAATATTAATGTCATATTTTGGAAGATGACTTTCTTCAATCTATGGACTACTTGTAATTCTTTAAAAGTATTAATTGTGCATCACAGCCTTTCTTTCTGAGATAAATAGGTATCTTAAACTCTAGAAAAATGATGTCATCGTGCACTGAAATGCAGATGTCTTAATAACTTGTAGTTAGTGCGTTATAGAACAGTTTTAGGGAAGGAAGTGAAGAATATGATTTCCATTTGAAACTGAAGGGAGAATGTAGATAGTCAGAAGGTAATTACCTGTGTTGAACTTTAGTGATTGCTTTGGGGTATTACCCTTTGACAAGAAAAAATAATGATCTTTTTTTGGCAAAGAGCATGCCTTCTTGATAAGATAAAAAGAAAAAAATATATATGTAGACTTTGTATGGTTTCATTTGAGAGATTTATCTTTTTTTTTTTTGTGTGTGGCCGTAAAAGAGTGTTGTTATGCTACTTAGTAAGTTTTCTATTTTGTATTGTAGCTTAAACCATTTAATGAAATAAATAGAATATCAAAGCATTTTTAATAAATCAATAACATTTAAACATAATAGACCAGATCATCCTCTTTTTTCAAACAAATGTGGCTATATAAGATTTGAAAGTGAGGAGAGTCAGCTTTGCTCTATTTTCCTCCACTTCTCTCCCACTCTTTATGGGGATATGGTTCTGTGGCTGATGGGGGCAAACACCTTGGGTGGCTGGTTTAGTTGTACCTCTGCTTCCATTCCCCAACAGCATATAGAGCATTCACGTACAATGTGGGTGAATGAGGTTAAAATCCATTTCTGAGATATTCAGCTCCGGTGTAAATGCTCCCATTACATAGTCTGGACCAATTGATTATTACTTTATTTCACATAGACTTGCCCAGTCCATAGAGGAATGTCTCCTCTTGTTGGAGTAGATTAAGAACAGTTGTTGATAGGATGGCATTATTTGAGCTATGAGGAGAAACTCAGAAGTTTAGGATCACTGTCTGCAGCAGTGTGGTCTCAATAAACCCTTTAGGATGCTGAGTCCCTTGGCTTCTATCTTACATATTGAGGGGGAAGTGTGTCCTATTTCCTTCTCTCCAGCCATCCATTCCTTCATGAAGTTCAGTGTCTGAACTGTTGTGATATCGGTTAACTGTCCATCTTAGACATAAGAAATTTTAAACGTCCATCATCTACAATGTTTGCAACTTCTGCATCATCTATTGGTACCGATACTGGTACCAATACCAGGAGTATTGCAACTCAACATACCTCAGACAGTGAATTCTCTGTATCCAAAAAGAGACTTTTTTCTTTATCAAGTAAAACTGTGGATGAGTTCATAATCAGGACCAGTGAAGTCCAGCAAGACAACATAGATGATAAGTTTGTTTGGTTAATTTATGGAACAAATTCTCCCTTTCATCTTGTTCAGAGCAAACATTTCACTGGCATGGTTCAATTATTATGACCATGTTGTACTCCACCCAGCAGAACAGATGCTTCTGGAAATCTTCTGGGTATGAGAAAGGAATTGAACAGTGTGCAAAAAACACTGAAGAAAAAGGTATAAATTTGAGTCTTGATAGATGGAGCAAAGTACACAATGATCCAGTACTATGTGCTTGTGTGACAACAGAAGATGGAACTGCTTACCTCAGAAACAATTGATGCATGAGGAAATACCTATACTACAGAATATTTAAAACTAGCGGTAAAAGCTATAACAAACTGTGAGCAAAAATCCAAATGTCGTGTGCGTCAGGTGCAGTCACAGCTAATGCTGCAAATGTAGCAAGATCAGAAGAAACTTAGAAGATAATTAAGCACACCTGAAATGTATCAAGTATGGGTGCAGTGCTCATTTGATGCATTTTTTAGCCAAGTACTCCAGGAAAGTAGTAAAGGAAAATGTTGGAATTTGCAAAATACTTCTGTAACAACCAATTTGCTTCCGCTTCACTAAACAGAGCTGGGGGATCCAAGCTAATTCTACCCCAAATGTATGATGAAATTGAGTGGTTGACTGCTTTGAGCTGTTTATTAAGAACTGGCCTATTCTGATGACCATCTATGAAGAAAAGTGTGACAAAATTGATGAAAGTATCACAGCTAAAGTAGTTAACTCTTGGAGTAAAGACAAAAGTGGAGATATGCTGAATTCACTAAAACCTATTTCCATAGCTTTGGACAAACTACAGAAAGATTGCTGCTGTATTGCAGATGCTGTTGGAATTCAAAAAGAACTTCAAGAAATATTAAAGCAAGAAATACCCAACAGTAAAGTTAAATTGCAGGCAGTAAAGCAGTGGATGGAGCAAGCAAGCACTTCATCTCATTTTTTTGTCAATATTCTTAACACAAAGTACCAAGGTAGATGCCTAACTGCCAAAGAGGAAAATGCTACTATGATACGGGCATCTAGTAATCACCTATCAATCATGCCAACTATAATACATTTCAGGGCTAGTGGTGAACTGTTTTAGTAGTACATATTTGGTGAGGATGTTTTAAAGAGAGTCACACCACTGAACTGGTGGAAGTAAGCACCTAAAACCAGAGTTTGTTGAAGTGTTAAACCAGCTTTTATAGTAGCCTCTTCTGCAGGTGCAGACAGAGTATTTTCTTCATTTGGACCTGTTTATTCAATGCTGAGAAATCAATTGTGAGTTGAAAAAACAGGAATGCTTGTTTATATCTTCCAGTTTATGAATAAAAATGGGGAGGAGGATGAGATTTATGTGTTGGAAAAACTTGAAAGTAAAAATTTTCAAAATAGCGTTAAAAAAAAAAGGACTTATTTTAAAGAGGATTTGGCAAATAGGAATTTAAGTTCAAATGATTTTCACCTAGGCATTTTAGAGATTTTTCCCCAAGGTGACCTGGAATAATTGGTTTACTTCACTAGCCACACACAGTTCCTACTTCTACTTCTATAAAAATTAATACTAGTGTTAATAAAGTCTGAGGCTGAATCAGTTCAATCTTTGCAGGTTAGTCTAAGCTAATTTTAGTCATATTTTCTTTGACCAACTCTGCACATGTTTTGAATCAAGGACTTGAATTTGTCAGGGCATTGGTAGTGACCTTGAGAAAATCTTCCTAAATCGGGTCAAGTTGTAAGGCTTTGAGAAATTATGGTTTTGTATGCTCAGTAGAGACTTCTTTAAGCTTAGCATCTATAGTCTCCAAGCACTCCATCTGCATCAAGCGTGTTTGAAACTTCCATGGTTGCCGGTTTTGTTCAAAGGGCCCATATACCATCTTCACAGAGCATTTGAATATGCTTTTTCCATTCATTGGCTACAGGTGTAAATCTGAACTTAACCTGTCGTGGCTCCTCTCCGCTGGTTGGGGGCTGTTGCTGAGCACTGGAATGGAACTAGAAGCAAAAAGTCTGACCTGTCCTCTTAGTGGCATTTCTCTCCCACAGATGTGCTGGGGCAACAGGATGGAAGAGAGCTTGTGATTAAATGTAGAAAGGATAAGGGGGAATGAAACTGGACAAGGAGTCTGGTGGGATTGGATGGGAAGAGAGAGAAATAGGGACTACGTAAGGAGACTGGGAAATGGGAACTAAGAAGGTTGGAACTGGGAACTGTGAGGGAATCGGACTGAGACGGGGAGAACATGGGTGGGAGCCAGTTAGCCTTACTGCAGAAAGTCTTTTGGCTGTATGAAAACCTTTGGATGTCTCACAAGTTTGGGAAACAAAATCAGAGAGGAATGGCGAGAGAGATATAGTATCAAGTAACCTAAGGCAGGTGTGTTAAATTGAGAGTCCATTGCTGCATCCAGGTGAACGTGGACTTGTGGTATGTGGCACCACATACCCACCTGTGGTGCCACACACCACACATGCAAGCATACCCCTCACTGCTACCTTGTAACGCAGGGAATTTTTTTTGACCTTGGGAGATCCCAGGGGAAAAAAAACCCATGTGGAGAAAAAGTGGAGCAATGCACTTGTAGGCAGTATGTGCTGCCCAAAACTGGAGTCTGGCCAGCTGGAGCCATGCTCCAGTTGCCAGCCAGGCTTCTTGGTGTGGCTACAGCCCTGGGAGACCCCAAGAACATCAGGTAAGGCTACTGGGACCAGCACAGTTGCTGGCCCCAGCCTTGGTTACTCCAACTGGGGTAACCTATCACATGCCAGAGCACGTATGGCATGGGCATTCCCATTTCTTACAAGGTGTGCCACTGCTGCTTGTCCCTGGGAAACAAATGTCTGTTCTCATCTGGACACACCCTATGAGTTGTAATTCTTGCTCTACCACTTCTTTTGTACACTTTGCATCACTTATTGTATATTAAGGTTTCATTTTTTCCTTGGGAGGTAGTTAACAGGTTGAAGTTTTGTACTAGTTTATTTATTACACATTTTTTGGCCAATTTGCTTACTTTTTGCCTTTTAAAGTGATTACTTAGGATGCGTTCTAATTTGAATGGCTTCTAGCACATGTGGAAAAAACAACCAACTATAGACAATGTTCCTGCTTTCTTCCAAAATGTGGAAATCTTGTCAAAATTACAACAGCTTGAAGCAGTATTCAGTATATTTCATGATCCTGCGGAGCCCCAAAATGGAAGACTTATGCCACAGGAAAGGAGAAATTCCTAGTTCCCAGAATATTCCTTACAGTTTTGAGATAACCACTTGTTAAGGTTGAACATTTTTTAAATGTAAAAAGTGACTTTACTGCAAGTCATTTTTGCTGGTGGTTTCTATTTGAATTTGAATTTTCTCTAATTCAGAAGCCTACACACTGAGACTCATGGTAACCAAATACTTTGCTTTCCAGGTGCAGGAATATATAAAAATAGTTCCAATAAAAATTGGGTTTCTGTAATATAGGTGTCAGAAATGGTTTGGTGTGATATATAAAGGTTTTTTATTAATCCTCATTTAAGATAACCATTACAACTCGCCTGTGACATACCTAATATCAATTAAAATGTTCATAACA